TCATGTTGTTCTGTCCCCAAAAACTACATCAGCTGGCACATACTATTCACGGAGCTATCCTCCTTAAGATGTAAATGGTAGGGTGAGCTCCTTTTCTGATGTACCACAGGGACAGTCCCCTTGACTTTGCATATCAGAGCAAAATACAACCCACTACTCTGAAAAATAGATGTAAAAATAGCATTGTGGAGGAAAAGCCGTTGTCTCTTGAAGTTGTTCAAAGTAGGCGCTTGAACCACTTCGGGCGGCAGTCTATTCCAAACCTTGGGGGGCTTGGACAGTAAAGAAGTTCTTCCTTATATCCAGCCTGAAATGGTCACGGAGGAGTTTGTGATTACTTGACCTTGTCATCCCTTGGGGCGCTCTGGTGAACAAAAGTTCCCCCAGATCTTGGTGAACACCCCTTATAAACTTATAGGTGGCCATCAGATTGTGCCTGAGCCTGCACTTTTCCAAGCTGAAGAGTTCCATAGCTCTCAGCCTGTCGTCATAAGGTCTATTTTCCTGACCTCTGATCATGCGTGTGGCTCTTTTCTGGACTCTCTCAAGATTCTCCACATCCTTCTTGAATTGTGGAGCGGAAAACTGGACATAGTACTCCAGCTGCCGCCTCACCAAGGCCAAGTACAACGGGAGAATGGCGTTCTGGGATTTGCTTGAGAAGTATCTATGGATGCAAGCCAGCGTTTTGCTTGCTTTACTAGCTGTAGCATCACATTGAAGGTTCATGTTCATCTTGTGGTCAATGATGACCCCCAAGTGCGGGGGGTCCATAGTGCTAGCCAGCATAGCACTGCCGAGCCTATAAGCATGCTGCAAGTTTTTCCTCCCAAGGTGGAGAAGCTTGCATTTTTTGGTGTTAAACACCATCAGGTTCTCATCAGCCCATTTCCTGAGCCTGTCAGAATAAGTCTGGATCACCCTTCTGTCCTCAGGCGTGGACACTTTACCCCAGAGTTCGGTGTCATCAGTGAACTTGGCCAATTTGCTTCTGATACCAATGTCTACATCATTAATGAAGATGTTAAATAGTATAGGCCCTAGGACAGAGCCTCAAGGGACCCCACTGGTCACAGCACACCACGACGATTGACTTCCATCAACCACCACCCTCTGGGTCCTACCACAGAGCCAATTCCCCAGCCAGTGGTGAGGCTGAGGCCGCAGTTAGCCAGTTTTGCCAAGTGGTGATCATGGGATACCAGATGGAAGGCTTTTTTAAAGTCAAGATGTATGACATCAGTCTCTTCTCCCTTGTCCAGGTGATAGGTCGCCTGGTTGTAAAAGGAAATAAGACTGGTCAAGCAAGACATACCTGCAACAAACCCATGCTGGCTATTCGATAGGATGTTGCCGTCAGCCAGTCTGTTAAGAATGGCCTTTTTGATAATCTTTTCCAAGACCTTCCCTGGGATAGAGGTCAGGTTGATGGGCCTGTAGTTTGCCAGATCCACTTTCCTCCCTTTCTTGAAGATAGGCACCACATTGTCCTTCTTCCAGTCTGTGGGCCCTTCACCAGAGTGCCAGGAACTCTCAAAGATCCATGCCAGGGGCTGAGCTATGACGCTTGCCAGCTCCTTGAGTACCCTGGGGTGTAAACTATCAGGACCGGCCGACTTGAAAGTACCCAGCCTCTAAAGGTGTTCCAACACATTGATGGAGGGTAAGGAATCTCCCTTGCCCAGGCCTCCCTGTCCTGCAATGGGCAGGGACGCCCCATGGGACTGGTGAAAAACCAATGCAAAGTACCCATTGGAACCCACTGAAAAACCAACGCAAAGTAATAATTGACCATCGCATAAATATGAGGTGTCAGTACAAGGTGGTAGTCAGCAGGACAAACACACTGGCATGCATCAACTGATGCATCTCATGTAAAACTAAGGAAGTGATACTCCCGCTGTACTCAGCACTGGTGAGACTGCAGTTGGAGTACTGCATCCAGTTCTGGGTGCCACACTTCAATATGGACATGGAAAAATTTGAGAGGGTCCAGAAAAGTGTATGATCAGGGACTTGCAAGGCAAGCCATACAAGGAAAGGCTGAAGGACCTGGGCCTCTTTGGCCTAAAGAAGAGAAGGTTGAGAGGGAACGTGATAGCGGCGTACTGGTAGATCAGAGGAGTGTATCAGGAGCTCAGTGAACAGCTGCTCACTAGGGCATCCTCGGGGAAGACCAGGACCAATGGATGCAAACTCCTGGAAGGCCGCTTCAGGCTTAATACCAGGAAAAACTCCTTCACAATCAGGGTGTCCAGAGTGTGGAATAAACTCCCTCCAGAGGTGGTGCAGTCACCTACCCTGTAGGTTTTCAAGAGGAGACTGGACAGTCACGTTGCTGGCGTCACCTAACCCCAGTTGTCTTCCTGCCTAGAGCGGGGAGGTTGGATCCGATGATCCAGCCCCTAACAATCTATGAATCTATCTATAAAAACACAACGTAACCCATCACACACCACAAGTAACACATCATTTAAATATCCAAAACAACATCTTTATTTCTTCCATTCAATTCTTTTATAAAAAGAAAGGCTCTCTGACAGTTTGGCTCCCTGAGATGCTGCTGCTGTGCTGCTGCTCACGAAGTTATTATTTTACCTGTTGTCATTTAAACTGGTGGACTGGACTGAGGCTGTAGGGGAGGAGGAGACCTCACTGGAGCACACTACCATGTCATGTAGATGCCCCAGCACCAGTGGGGGCACACCTTGCACGCACGCACGCACGTGCACGCACGCACGTGCACACACACACACACACACACACACACACACACACACACACACACACACACACACACACAGAGA